GGGGCAGCAAGTCCCGCCTTTGAGGGGTGTGGACTTCAGAGCTGGAGCTGGGCATGGTGGAACAGGGTCGGAGGAGTGACTGGAGGAGGAGGCATGAAGAGACAGGGCACAAGGATGTTTCTGGCAGGCGGGGTCTCGAGCCAAGGAGTGCTCCAGAGCCTGGGAAGCCACCAAATTCTCAACAAGCTGAGTGTGTGCGGGGAGGATGCTAGTGCTCACAGTAAACTAGATTCCCAAAGCTTAAGAACCACTTATTTTTGGCCAATTTGGGAGGCAATGAGAAGACACCCTTGCTGGGGCTGGAGCACGTGCTGGAGTGCGGTGAGGTGAAACCCGGGCTGGAACCACGGCCCAGAGGGCGATGAAGGCCTCACAAAGCTGCCTGCCACTTGTCCAGGAGGCAATGGGCAGGGCCAGTCTATGGGTCAAGTGGAGACTCACTGCAGTGAGAGGTCACCTTAGGAGGAGCACGTGCACCCTCACGGGAGCACAGCGGTGCCAGCCCTGGTCCAACTCCTACCTTCCCTCTAGCTCCATCGGGACGGGGAGAGAAAGAGATGGACACATTCTCTCTCAGTTCCTGTTTGCACCTGTCCTCAGGCCATTCCTCAAACGCTTGATTCAGGGGCCTACAAAGGGGGGTGAGCAACACTGAGATGGTGCCCCTCCTGCCAGGTCCCCGCCACACTGCAGAATGCTGAAGACCAGGCCTTAGCTGGATGACTGAGCAAACAGGACTATATAAAACCCCGAATTCTCTGAGAAGTAGAAATATAATTTACTGCAAGCCAAAGACCAAGTTCAACTTCTTTCAAATGGGGCCGACACTGCAGAAACCTGGAGAGAGTACAAGAACTCACCGCAGGTGCGCCCTCCCTGGGCGGCTGCGTTCCCTGGCAGTTCTGTGAGATGTGCCCCGCGCCAGGTAAGTGGGTGTTGGTGTGCAGGCAGGGTCTCTTAGGAAGCTGCTTGTGCTCCTAGTGAGCTCATTAGAAGGATTTGCTCCTTTCCCTGTACTTAAGTCAACAATGACAGTTGTTTGCCACCTTCCCCCACGTTGTGCTTCTTTGTAAAGCTCTCGGTGCTGCAGGGAACACATGTTCTCTTCAGGAAACTGTACCCAAGGGGCAAACCCACAGACAGTGCTGCACAAGGGGGCAGGGGGCGTGAGAGGTGTTATGTATGTTCCTGCTTCCCTCTGGGTGAGTTTGGGGTGGACCGCGAGACTCCCCAAAGGGCAATCTGAGGTGGGAGGAATGGTGGCAGTGGGTTTGGACTTGGTGTCGAGTCTGAACGATAAACCTGTTTTCCGATGAGTCTGGCTCTTCTGTGCTCTGTCCCACCCGAGGCTCATCTTTCCTCCATCCTCACCAGGGAAGACAGTGGCTGGGCCAAAGGAAAGTCGGTGGGTAAACACAGGGAGATGTTTAATTCTTTCCCCAAACTGTCCATGGTCCAAAAGGTTTGAGCAGGGAAATGAGGGGAAGCGAGTGGCTAGAAGTTCATGGAACAACAGGCCTTTCCAACCAGAAGAAATAACTCGGGTGGACCGGCAGCTGAGGAAAGACCAAGGGGGCCACACTGATCAGGCCAGGACAGTGCGGTCTGTCTCTACCTGTCTTGCCACTTAACTCCCAGAGGACCCTGAGTAAGCTGTTTTATTTTCTGATTTTGTTTTCTTGCCTGTGAAGTGGAAATACTGACGGCTACTTCACTGAGCTGACGAGGGATTAAACGAGATCATGCGAGCAAAGTGTGCCAAGCATGTGTTCAGTGTTGTCAAGATGTAGGCAGCCGTGTGACTGCCTGATCCTCTCTCGGGGAACAAAAGGCTGTGGAGCAGAGCTGCCTCCCCTCCAGCCCTGTCTTTCTGGCAAATGGCATAACCAAGGGGAAGCTCTACACTAATCAGCCAACCGGGTCTGCTGCCTGCTGCCATTTCATGAAGAATCTACCAGACTACTACATAACTGACCCGAGGGTGTCCATGGGAGTGACTCGTGTGCTGTTCTCAATTCCAGCAATGGGCTTCTCCCTCCAAAAACAGTCACACAGATTTACTAAGCCCAAGCATGTTCCCAGGTGACAGCAGGATGAGGTACCTTGACAGTGGTCCTGAGTGATGCGCCTGATGCCACCATGATGCATTGGTTCATTCTACCAGGAATGCACGTGTCAGCTGCTCTGGAGCCAGATGTGGCCATGACTCATTCCTGTGTGGCCTTCTGCTGATCAGAACTACCTCCCGAGGTGAGACAAAGGATGACAACTCCGAAAGAGAAAGCTCTACCCTCCTTTTCTGGCTCGTCTTGGACTTATAGTCAAGCAGGTGAATGTCACACTCTCTCACCTCCCCAAAAATCTAGCCTTTGTGAACCTCTTTGATGGCTGGGTTCATCATTTGAATTTCATTAGAAATTCACGTGTCTGCCCAATTGTCAGGTTCTTGGTGGTAAGGTCGAGATTCGGTTCTTTGTCTGTGGTTCCTGCAGTTCCCCACACAGCAAGCTCTCAAATCAATTCTCACCACTCAACTTCACAGAACACACAAACATTCCCTTCTCCACACTACTTCTCTCTACCACCTTCCGCTATATCTGCAAGTAGATTCCAATGTTGTCTCATGAGCCATAACCAACCATTTCTTTACTTATGCAGACATTTATCCAATGTCTTTTAAGGGGGGTGGTGGTAAAAATGGCAACATCTCTATTCTCAGGAAATTCACACTAAAACTATGTAGGAAGCAGAACCCTAGAAAGTCTATGGGGTTTCCTGTTAGGACTAGATGTGACCCTTGCCTTCAAGATCTTTATGCTTTGGGCCAGTGAAGACCAAGAGGTGTGAGGGCCCTCAGTGCAGTGTGAGCCCCTCTCCCCAGCTCTGAGCCAGATGCCCCACCCTTGTCCACCACCCCCTCTGTGATCAGTTTCAGTAATGACAGAGGCATGTTCTTGTTGGAGTAGGTGGGCTGACTGGCTCTGTATTGAGCTAGGTTGCAAAAAAACAAGTTCCCGCTTTGATAGGTCATGGCTAAATTTCGTAGAAGCAATTTCTTCAGGCTGTGTGTGCACGTATCACATTTCATATCTCTGACCTCTTGCCTTAGCCCCAAGCTCAAATATCCCCCTGCCTACTTGACATTTCCACTTGGAATTATGTCCACTTGACATCTCAAGTTTAACATGTCTAACACCAAACTCAAGATGTTGTTTCCACATCCCACCTGTTCCTCATCTAGTCTTTCCAATCTCAGTAGATGGTACCATTTTCCACCTAGTTGCTCAGGCCAAAAAAATCTAGGTGTTGTCCTTGGTTCTTCTTTCGCTTTACCCCACATCCACTGTGTCAGTAGGTCCTGTTGATGCACCTTTTGCATCGCAGCAGGGTCCAGCCCCTTCCATCCCCTGCTGCCACCCTCATCCAAGCCACCACCTTTTCTGCCTGGGCTACCATCGTGGCCTTTTTTCCAGTCTTGTTTTATTCTTGTCCCCTATAATCCATTCACCACATACAACCAGGGTAGTCTTTTTAAAAAATGTAAATTAGGCAATCAGTCCCCTAACTCATCCCCCTCAATGGTTTTTCACTGGCCTTATGATAAAAATCCAACTCTTAACCAGAGCCTATAAGACCCTGATGTGCCTGGCTCCTTTGTCCTCAGTTCTTGGCAAACTCCATTTGATTCACTACTCTACAGCCACTACAGCATTCTCTGTCCTCTAACATGTCAATCTGCTTCCTGCGTCAGGACCTTTGCACTGCCTGAAATGCCCTTTCCACCAGTGTACACTGTTGACTGTTCTTCCCTTAGGTCTCATCTATGTGTCACTCTTCAGTATGGCCTTATCCGACTACCATAACTTATGCCATCCCTTTGTCATGCTACTCTATTATATCACAGTACAGCTTACTCTTGAACAACACAGGTCTGAACCGTATAGGTCCACTTATATGGGTCCAGATTTTTTCAATAAATAAGTACAGTAAATGTATTTTCTTTCTTATGATTATCTCATTAGCATTTCCTTTTCTCTAGCTTACTTTATCATAAGACTACAGTGTATGTTAGACATAATATACAAAATATATGTTGACTATGTTATCAGTAAGGTTTCCAGTCAACAGTAGGTTATTAGTAGTTAAGTTTTTTTCCAGGGTGGGAGGTTGTCAAAAGTTATTTGTAGAGTTTCAACTGCTGAGGGTGTTCAAGGGTCAGTTGTACTTCCCTAGACTGCCTTATGTATGTCTGCTTGCTTACCGTGTACTGAACTAAAACATAAACTTAATCATGTCGTAAGGCCTTATCTGTCTAACTCATTGCTGTCTCCCCAGCACCTGGCACAGTTCCTGGCACATGGTGGGCGCTCAGTAAATCGGTAACGTACACATGAATGAATCCCAGCGCTGCAGCCAACCTGGAGGAGAGCAAGGACATAAGCCTAGGGCTCACACACAGGCATGGCCAAGGACCCAAACTTGCTGCACCGGCCTAGAGGCTCAGGAAGCGCGTAAAAGCGTAGCCGGGGCCTTGCAAAGCTCCTTGGGAATCAGCTAAGTAAACAACACTGCGAGGTAATGGGATCAAGTCAGGCAAGAAATAAGCCTTCGACTGTCACCATCTACGACTGGTGTTATGGATCTCAACCCTGGCTGCACCTTGAATCATCTGGAGAGCTGTTTTAAAGACTGGGGCCAAGGCCTCATTCCCAGACATTCTGCTTTAATAGGCTGAATAGTCCGGACTTCTCGGTTAAAAAGCTTCTCCGGTAATCCCACGGTGCAGCCAGACGAGAGCACCCAGCAGAAGGCAGGGGCGTCGCTCTCTCAGGCTCCCCCCGGGGATAGTTGGGACGCGCGCACGTGCGGCCTGGGAGGAAAAGCGCGCGCATGCGCGGGCAGCGTGGCTTGCCGACTAGTTGAACCCGCCCCTACTTCGTTCCTTCCTCCCCTCGTCCCAACCACCTCCCCGCCGAAGGCGGACCCCACAGTCCGATCACCTGAGTGTTCTCTCCCTCCCGAAACGCTTGTGCTACCCGCTGCCGCAGGTAAGCGCCCAAGTCCCGGCCCCGTTTGGTCTCGTCCACTGGCCATTCCTCACAGAGCTTAAGAAAACGCCGGTAGCGGCTGGCTGCCATTTTGAGCCCCGCTTGTCCCCGCCCTTGAGGGAGGAGTCAGCCAGGCGCTTGCGCACAAGGCTCGCAGGCGTCCTGAAGAGGAGGCGTGGCAGGGAGGAGTGAGCATGCGCGACTTCGGGAACGCCCCGCCGCTCTCCAGTAGGGGCGCTACTGGCCTGTCTCTGCAAGCAGAGCTAATTCAGCTGTCGTTCCCTGGGAACCGGCCCAGCAACCAGGGGCAGATCCGACGTGGAGAACCCATGGGACAGCTTTGCTTCTCTTTTTCAGTGACTGCACCAGTTCCAGATTAAAAAACCCTCCTCGGAGAACTGTGCTAATTTGCATAAACGAGTACATTTGCATGTAAATGCAGTGTTATTCGATGAAGAGGTGTTTGAACTTAATCACGTATTACGCACACGTGGTTCTCACCCAACCCCCGCCCATTCTCTCTTCTCACAGCCCCTGTACCTGTCACTACCACTTGTTACTCTGCCACAGTTCCTTCTTTAGTGCTCCCCAGCTCTCTCCCTGGCCCCTATTATATCCCTTCTGAGTGCCCCCTCCCCAAGTCAAGCACTTTTCCTTGGGAGGCACCAATTTCCTAGCTGGAGCAAAACAACTTGGAAAAACTTAAAAAAAAAAAAATTAAACCTTATGCATCTCCAGATGCATCATCATGTGGAATGTCCTGAGTTTTCTTTTCAAAAGATACCTCCACCTTCCAGATTTTCCTTAAGAAAGCCTCAACCCCCTCTGGGTCATTGTCCTGCATTTAGCCAGGACTGTCTCATGCATACACTTAGCTTCCCCCCAATTTTTTCTTCTTGCTCCACCTACTTTATCAGGGTTGTCCAGGAGACTCCTGCCTTGAGTAAGGGAGTGAATACACAACCAAAACAAAGTTGAGAGCGACGAGAGCTTACATTGAAGTGTTAGAGAATGCCAGGAAGGTTGGAGAAAGAAACAGTACTTTTAGCTGTTCGGGGGAGCAGGGGAGAAAGGTGGCGGGGCATCTGGAGGAGATGGCATTTGGCTGGGCCTTGAAGGGTAGTTAGGACTTGGGTAAGTGGGAATGGAAGGATACTGAGCCTCAAAAACCAGGACTGGTGCAGGAGCCGGAGAGAGAGGAAGAGGGAGGAGGCCTATTTGAGGAAAGATCAATGGGTGGTTTTAACAAGGACAAGCTTTGATCTGCTCTGGGGGCGTTAAGAGTGAAGATCTATTGAATGAGAACCTTTGGGGATCCAGGGTGTGCAAAGGCCACTTGAAGTGAGTGAGTTCGGGAAGGGGGTGCCCACCTGAGGTAAGAAGAATTCAAGGGGGATGAAAAATGCACTCAAGGGCACCCCACCATGTTCCAGCCCAGCAGTGTGCCCCTGCTCCATCCTCAGCTGTATTTACAAAGTTTTGATGGCTGCTCAAAGGGCCAGGGTTGTACTGTATCTATTTACTGTCAAGCTCCAGGCACCTAGAGCTGTGCTGGGTGCCCCGAGGCCTTGTTGTTTTGCCTGAGGTCCTACCACAGCTGTGGCTTTGAAGAGCACCTGGCTAGCTGAGGACAGCGGCCCTCCTGGCTCCTGGAAAACCCCCGCCAGGGCCTCACGTCTGGAGCCATTTGGAGTGGGTATTTGGGCTTTCTGGAGCTGTGATCGCTCTTTATAGAACCTTTATAGAAACTAGGCATGTGGGGGGAGGGGAGAGGGAGGGAGCATGGCTTCAGTTTTTCAGTTAAAATGATCCCAGTCATTGAGATGCCGAATTGCACATTTAAATCGCTTGAAAGTAAAAATATCGTTTTGTGATGCTGGTGTTAATAATGCAAACATTAAAAAGGAATTATATACTTAGCTCTATTGTAGGGCACAATTGCCTGCTTTTTCTTCTTTCAACTTATTTTCCTAGAGGAGGTGATTGGCTGCAGCACCCAGGTATGTTGCCATAAAAAGTGGGTCTGGACCTGCATCCGAGCTATCCTGTGTAAAGGTGCCTCATCTGGAGGTGAGCTCTTTTTCAAGGCACACGGGTGTTTGACGTGTGCTGGGATAGCCTCAGAAGCTCCTGAAGTGCACCCTGTTATCTCCAGAGCCCCTCAGTTCTGTTGACATATCTTGTCATCTGCCCCAGGGACCTGCCTCCCTTCCTTCACTCTGTTGTCTGCTCCATGTCACCCTAGAGAGGCCTCTGTGGTCCTTGGCCCGCAGCTAAAGTTGCAGCCCCACCACTTCTGGCCCCTGTTGTCTCACAGCACTAGTCACTATTTGACAACAGACCCTGGTGCACAGTAGTTTCTCACTAACAGGATCAGAAGAGAATGTTAGAATATAAAGCCAGGTCGCCTCACCCACTTGTCCCCACCCCACCCTGCTCCTGTAAGATACTCATTTTAGAGGGCCGGGGGAGAAAGATGAAGGGTGAACAGGAGCAGGTGGGCTTTTGGATTTTGTCCTTGGATTAGCTGTCACACTTCCTGTCCTGTTTCAGGGCAGCTGAGTAATGGAAGGGAGACGTTCCGCGCAGTGCATACTGGGAAGGACCCAGCCTGGCTGTGAGTCAGCCTGCCTGCGGCGTTCAGCGTGGTACTGTCCCGAGCTGCCTTCCCTTCCCTCCCTCCCCTCTAATTCTTGGCACCCACGCCTTCAGTTTAGTCGTTTCCCTCATCTTGTGTTTTATGCTTTTGGCCACAGAGGATGCAGATTTAAATCAAAAGTCAGAAATTTAGATCATTTTGAAGAGCTGCTGATGAGTGTCTCGCCTTGCCATTTGTTTTATTAGACTGTGTCCTGCCCTTTCCAGCATGGCCCGAAAGGCTCCACGCAGCTGGGCAGAGTGATGGGGCTGCCAGGTGCTGCCCAGAGGCCCAGGGCTTCCTGATGACATTGCGTTATGGAGAAGCTGTAATAGCATTCTGTTCTTTAGCTTCCTCTTCAGTCACACAGGGGACACCCAGGGGGACAGGTGGGGCTGGGTGACTCTCCCAGGCTGCCCTTGTGGGGAGGTCAGGAGCAGGTTGCTCTTCCACATCACCTGTCTGCAGGATCAAATTAGAGTTCCTGTGGGACACATAAGGAAACTGAGGTAGGAAAGACGCTAAGTAAATCTACCAGCACTCTGGGCACACTCAGTGCATGAGGACATGGCGAAGGGAAGAGTCTGGATCAGAACCTGCAGTTCTGGTACTGCCAGGTCCCTGCTGTCCCCTCATGCCCTCCTCCTGATCTTTATGTCTCTATTTCTCCCTTCTTAAGTCAGGTATCGCTTTAATGTGAGGGTTATAGAGAAAGAAGTTATGGTAGAGGCTGGGTTCTCATCAAACCCACTTCCTCTTCCTAGGCACACAGTTAAACTACATCTCAGCCCCTTGGCATCCGGGTGAGGCCACAGGACTGGGTCTTGCTCACGGAATGTGGGTGTGCCTTCTCCATGTTGTCTCACTTTAGGCCCTGTGGGTGAAGATGGTGGAGTCATAAGATGGAAGGAGCCTAGGTCCCTAGATGACTGTGTGGAGCAGAGGCTCTCTGCCAACTACATTGGATTGTGATGTGAAGCTACTGATATTTGGGGATTGTTTGTTATGACAGGTAGCCTACCCTAATGTCTGTGTGTTTTTCAGTTCAAAAAAGAAGAGAGCTCCCCAGTTTGGGTAAGGGAGGCCAGCCAGGAGGCTCTTTCAGAGTTCCAGCAAGAGGGAGCTACAGTGCTGGAAGGTTCTGAGGTCCTTTCTGTTCTCATGTTCTGGGGTTTCTCCATTTCCGTCTTATTCTCCCTCGGTGCCCCTGCACACCAACCTCCTATGGCCAACAAACCAGATCCTTGGATGGAACGTTGGAGTCCCCATTCCTGGAGCAACTGCCTTTCTTTTTCACTTGTCAGACTTGCCTCTCTTTCAAGGCACAGCTGAAACACCGCCTCTCTGATCACCTGGTGTGGCAGTGAGTTCTCTGCCTCTGCTCTGCTGGTAGCACTTTGCAAATCTGAGCAGGCAGCCCACACCCTTTGGAAGCACCCGTGATCTTTTCATAATGAAGGTTTTTACTCTCTCGTTAAATCTTAAGGTGCTTAAGGCTAACATCTCGATCACACACTTCCTTGTTTCCTACACAGGCCTTAGCACTGTGCAGTGTGTACCAGGCACTCAGAAATATATATATAAATTTTTTTGGTACATGCCCCTAGTCGGAACCGAACCCGGGACTCTCTGGTCCGCAGGCCGATGCTCCAACCGCTGAACCAGATCGGCCAGGGCTGAGAAATATTATTTATTGGAAGGAAGGACAGATGACTGAAGTCACAAACGAAGGAACTACTCGGCCAGATTGTGTGTGTGTGTGTGTATTAATCCTCACCCGAGGATATTTTTCCATTGATTTTTTGGTAGAGTGGAAGGGGGAGAGAGAGAGAGAGAGAGAGAGAGAGAGAGACAGACATCAGTGTAGAAGACACATCAATTGGTTGCCTCCCACACAATCCCGACTAGGGCCTGGGATTGAACCTGCAATCCATGTGCATGCCCTTGACTGGGAATCAAACCTGCAACCCTTCGGTCCATAGGCCATCGCTCTAACTTCTGAGCCAAACTGGTCAGGGCATAAATGTCTCCACCATCAGGTTCACTCCATTTTTCTACTCTTCATTTCTACTACTCCCAACCACAAAACCCCATTCATGAATACGCTCAGTTTGTCCTTCCCTTCACTCCCCACCCCCCACCCCCACCAGTCCCTTAGCCCCTTCCCGAACCCTGTCACTCTTCAGGGTCCAGATGAAGTCTCACCCCCTCCAACAGTTTCTATGACAACACTGCTCTTAGCAAACGTCTTCAACTTGAAATTCTAGGATTGCTCATCTGCACCACAGATCCCTCCTGTCCACTGGGTACTGTATTGTGTGGTTTGTAGTCAGTTCATGTGTGTGATTCTTGCTTCCTCAACGAGAATCCGAGCTCCCAAGAGCCGGCTCTTGCACCGTGCTGAGCAGAGATCTGCAGGGAATACTGTTCAGTGCAGGGACACTTGCCGAGGGCTGGATATCTGGGCTCTCTCATCCCTTTGGTCATTTTTTTTTTTTTTTTTTTTTTATCCTTACCCGAGGATATTTTTCCATCTTTTGTACAGATAGAGTGGGAGGGAGAGAGAGAGAGAGAAACATCGACGTGAAGGGACACACCGAGCGGCTGCCACCCACACGACCAACCAGGGCCGGGGACAAACTGCAACCGAAGTACGTGCCCTTAGCGGGAACCGAACCCGGGTCTCTCGGGACCGCGGGCCGACGCTCTAACCGCTGAGCCAAACTGGCCAGGGCCCCTTTGGTCATTTTTAAGTAAACTCAGATGGGAGGTCAAATACATACACACCCACCATTGCTTCTTCTCATACCTTTTTGTTCTCCCTCTGGCTGGATTTGCAATAGTTGGGTGGGTTCCTTCAGAGGAGTTGCTGAATCTGCAAAGCTTATCCGAGTTTCCAGACCTTGCTGCTCCCTCTGAGTCCTATAGTCCAGTCAGAAGCTGTAAACCAGGAGCCAGCTTTGTCCCTTGCAACAAACGGCACTTTTGTCGGGGGCCTTTCAGGAGGAGGTGGAATTTGGAGGAAGAAGGTCACAGGTGAAGGGCACTGTAGGGTAAAGGAGTAGCTAAGAGACGAGGCATCACGTGGGCAGGAATAAGGAGCCAGCTCTGGAGAGCAGCACAGTTAGTGGCATGGGTGACCAGCCCTAAAACACTTAGATTGCAGCTGATCCTTCCCACCTCATCCTCGGCAAGTCCCTCGCACCCAGGGCGACCGATGGCGGAGGAATCAGAAGCTGCGGCGGAAGCGTTGGACTGGGCTGACACGGGGCAGGTTCTCACACGCGCACGTGGCTCAGGAGAAGCAGTGTTTAGGGCTCCATTTTGTCATTAGCAAATGTTTAGTTTTCAGCTGATTTCCTTTTGCCACCCAGCGGGCGCTGACTTCGCTCCCCCATGGGCACCGAGCATGCAAATTAATGGTGTCATTACCTCGGCCAAACATAATTAGCGGAGTTAACTTGCTTTGAAATCCATATAATGTATCGCAAAATTAATCAAAAGTTTTTTTATTATCTAGGCCACTCTTTCCTTCTAATAGTGTGGATTTTGGAAAGTTAATGGTAATTAGCCATGAGAATCCAGAAATTTTTAAATTTGCATTGTATAAGGTCCGCATAAAAGGACTACTTACTTCTCGGGCCTGGAGTCTGACTTGTAGATACACACACGTCGTTTCTTAGCCACCATTTCCCACTGGGTTCCCGAGGTTTGCGGGAGATCGGCGAGCTGTTTCTGCTGTACTCTCTAGGCACCCATAAATTGGGGCTAGCATACAGTGTGATGATCGGAATAAATAAACAGAAAGGGTAATAAGGCACACCAAAGAATCACTGGTGACCTCAGCAATTTTATTAACAAATTTATTTCCCTAATTGGGCAACGTAGCTCAGTGCTTGACTCAAGGGCATTGTAATAGGTTTCCACATTGCAGAAGAAGGAATTAATTAGAACCGCTTGCTCTTTGTTCCGTGTTTATACTTGTCCTCTGGTCTTGTAAACATCGCGCCTGATTTCCCAGCCCTCCAGGCTCCCCATTTCCGACCCCCACCCCCAATAAATAAATAGGAGGCTGGGAGTGTAGTTCAACATCAGGGGCTCCTTGTGCACAGTCCGCCTCCACTGGAAGCTGCATTTCATGGTCAGATTCTGGCAGAATCGTGGCTTCCAGTAGGTACTTGGAAGTCTGTAAAGAGACCTTTCTCTCCACAGGCAAAAATGGACAACCTGAGGTGTTGGTTTGCCATTGCTGTGTCTGGGATTGTCCTTGTTCCTTCAGAGCCTGGGTACCAAGCTGGCGAGATGGGCAGATCTGTTCCCCTGCGTCCTGCCCCACCTGCAGTGCCTCTGAGGAAGGGAAGAGGCATTCCTTCCCTCTGTCTGCTCTGCCCTTGGAGCAGGCCGCCCACGCCGCAGAGACCATGAACTTGTGAGCTCACGCGTCGAGACTTCGTCAAGTAAGGTTTGGTCTCGCAGCTCGCAGGGACGGCAGCGCGAGAAGAAAGCATTTCTAAATGCAAATACTGCAGAGTCTCACTGCGGTGCTGCCGCTAGCTCACGGCCCTGCAGTCTACCCCGCGGTGCTGCCGTTGCACCTCGCCGTCCAGGCTTGGCAACCAGCATCAGCACGGGACGCCCGGTGTGCCGGGTCTCTCCAGAGCCGATTTCTTCAGCAGCTCTTGACAGAGCCTGCCATGTATAGTGATGGCTTTTGAACGTCAATATGGTTATGACAAAGACATGTAAGGGGTGTCTAAACTACCCTCACTACCAGTAGGTCCCTTTGAGATCTCAACTCCAGAAAACTGGGTGGCCGGCTTGTCTCGTGACAAGTGTCACTGTCCCTCCTGGATGTCCTGCAGGATCTGGATGAGGTTTTCCAGGCCTAAAATGTAGCCCGAGTCTGGTCCGTCGTAGGTCCTGTGCTCGTTCCAGGAGCCCCTGTATGTCGTGTGAGCGAAGTCGATCATCCGGATGTCAACCTTGGGGAGACCTGCGGGACAGCTGCCAGGCACCCTCTGTGGCGCCTCCTGAGGGCGCAGGCCGCCCAGGGCTCTTTCCGGCGGCTCCTGCCCATCGTAGATGATGAGGAGAGAGCTGGAGAAGAAGCGATAGGAGCTCTGGCTCCTGATGACAGAGAGGAGGGCCCGGAGCTGGCCCTGGATGGGCCCCAGCAGCTCCGTCCGGAGGCGGGTCCCATCGTGCAGGAACTGATGCAGGGCTTGTCTGAAGCCCTCGACGGAGAGTTTCCTTCCATAGTACTTGTCTTTGCAGAGAAAGTGCTTCTTATCGGTTTGATAAACCTGTGTTAAGAATAAGAAAGAGAACATGTGAAGAATTTAAAACAAAAAATCATACCTATTGCAGTGTCACAAGCTAATGTGATATATAGACAGACCAGGGGACACAGGGCAAGAATGGCTGAACCAAGCCAAACGCGGGCTTCCTCCAGGCACCGTTTCGCTTTCCATCTGACGAGCTTTCTGTGCAAGCCCTGCTAGGAATCCGTCACCGGCAGACCAGACCGGGCCCTCCGCCGAGCAAAGGGCTGGATCTCCTTTCTTGTGAATTTCCAGTGTCAGCCTCCAAACCATGATTTAAGCCCTGGCTTCTGGCCCTCTTCAAATATTAGCAAACCCAAGCGAGAAAACTTGAGTAGGATCAGAAATCACAGCCAATGGCCTTGGAAAGCCAACTAGATTAAATTTTCCACAACAAAGTTTATAAAGTCCTGTCCCTGCAGATTCTAAGGAAACAATAATGGCTCTCGAGGTAGAGTGGGGTGAATTATTTGAAGATAAAAGACAGGCCAGATCAGGTGTGGATGGAGTTGGGGCAGCCCCTGTGGCTGAGGGGGGCCTGGAGAGCGGAGGGAGGGGCATGGCAGCTCTGAGGGGCTGGTGGCTCCCCTCACTCCCTGTCATGTCTTGGCCACCAGAAGGGAGCAGGTGGCGGAGAGATGGGTGGGGCGGGGGCAGCAGCCCCGTTTCCTTCAGCTGCAGCAGCCGAGGCTGCGCAGAGGCCCGCAGCTGGCCTGGCCCGAGAGTGACCCGGCACGTCTCTGCCGCACACCTGGGAAAGGCCAGCAGCTTCTCGGGCCTTTCTGCCTGCAGATTACACAATATGTTTACGGTCGACCAGTGTTGAAAAGAACCAGAAAGATATGATAGACCTGGCGTTGCCTTTGGAGGGCTGCGGAATCAGCCATCACAGATACACGGCAGGCGTCAATTTCTAAGTAAATCAGATCCGTTTCAGATGATCTGATCCGAGTCCAGAGAGATCCCACGTACACCACAAACCATCACACTCCCCTGTCTTGAGGACTTCGTTCCAAGCCTTTCAGGGCACATCTGTGTGACAAATTTATAGACTCAACTTCCAGCTTCAAGGGGCGGCAGTTTCAATTAAGGGAAGCTATCATGTTCCCGTCGATCGGTGTCTGGTGTTGCTTTGAGTAGATAGACTACAAGAGGGAACCAATGGAGAGTTTATTTCCTCCTGTTCTGAGCCTCTGCCGCAAGTCACATCTGAGCAGCAAAACTAAAGGTGGAATCGGCACTAAAAACTAGCCCTCCCTTTGCCAGGGTAGCAGGTTGTAAAATCCCCATTTTGTCAACCAGAGCAGGGAGCGAGAAGCAGAAAGGGTGGAGTAAGAAGTGAGAACATCTACTGGAAACTCAGACTGCCTCACAGCATCCGAGAAGCTCAGCATCATCGATCGGAGAACGAGGAATCGACAGTGCACAAACTCTTCCTCTTCCTTCTTCCCCAGCCCCGCTCACACTGTCTTCAAAGCTCTGCCTCAACACGGGCAGGGCCACGTGGCCACTGTGGAAAGTTACAGTTGCCAAAGACCCTGACACCAAGTTAAAAAATGGGGCTTTGACTACTATCCTGAAAGGTGCTTTTTAAAAGATCCAGTGTGTTGCCCTGGCCGTTCTGGCTCAGCAGTTAGAGCATCAGCCCACGGACCAGAGAGACCTGGGTTCGGTTCCTGTTAAGGCACGTACCTCGGTTGCAGTTTGTCCCCGGCCCCAGATGGGGTCTTGTGGGTGGCAACCAGTCGATGTGTCTCTCTCCCATCGATGTTTCTCTCTCTCTCTTCCTCCCTCTCTCCCTGAAGATAAATGCAAAAATGTCCTTGGGTGAGGATAAAAATAAAAAAAGATCCAGTGTGTCATAGACCAGAATGAACATTTCCTGGGGGGGAAGTGGGTCACCTGGCTGCCTCCTCTGCTGCTCCCCCAAAGTGAGGAGCCCTGCAGGGGGCAGTGGTGCCTGGATGGGAGGCATCGCGCCCACAGTGGACATGCTGGAGGCCCAACCCTGCAGCGGGCCCCCTGCCACCCACCTGCATGCCGCAGATGCGCACGCCCAGGCAGGCCGAGGTGCTGTGCGCACACTTCGTCATGTGGCGGGCCTTCTTCTCCTCGGAGGCGTCGTCCCCGTGCTGCCGGGTCCCCATCTTCAGGTCCAGGACGCAGGGGTGTGTGTACTGTGACACGACGTTCTCCAACAGCAGGAACCCTGGTCACACGGAGTCAAGGAAGGCTCCGGGCCCGGGGGCGCTGCCCTCGAAGCTGGTGGGGGCCCTGGCTGCGCGCTCTGCACTCCAGACACGGTCTCCCTGGCGGGAACCCCAGGGGCCGCGTGCAGGCTGCTGTGTGTACCGTCCGCCCACTGAGGGGCGAGTGTGAGTGTGCGTGGTTCTCCGCCTCTGCTCCAAGGTCGGAATTTAAAGGCAGCTCTGAACTCTCTGGCGGGCTTCACCCAATTTACGTCTTACGGCAGGAAATCATAAGGCTGATACCTCTAGCCACTGCATGGGCCAGTCCGTTTTGAGAGAAGGGGGTTGATGTTAGCTTTGGAGATGAGTTGCAGGAATATTCATTTCAGTGGAGTAATTATCCTGCAGAAGCTTCCTAGGGACTAGGGTTGCAGGTGTCGTAGTAAATACTGTGAAACCAGCCCCCTGGTTGTAAGAAAGGGCCCAGTGGTGACTGGAGGTGAAGGGTCATTTCAAGCCTGAATGTACTCACTGAGCACTTGGCTGCCCAAGGGGCGGGGGGGTGGGGTCCCTATAAGGTCCACCATAGGGGGGATACTTTCCTACGGGTGAACACACCCCTTCCCCCCATCAGCTCCATGGGAAGACCCCTGTGGGGAGGATTTGGAGGGATAGAAAGGAGGTTGGGGTGCAGCCCTCTGAGGCCCCGCCGCCCCATCCAGCACCCAGCGTCCAGCGTGGCATTATGGTTCCTGTCTGCCCACAGACACCCCAGCCTCGAGGCAGAGACATAGTGGCCCACCAGCGGCTCCACAGTCAGCTGAATTCCCAGCCTGGCTCACGTATAATCTGACTTTTCTTTTGGAGAGACTGATTTTTTTCTAGGTCCCAGGTTTGAGGGCTCCTGCCTCCAGCTCTCCCGCGTTCCCCCCTCACTTGACCCTCCTTCTGCCCCCACCGGCCTCCCACAGGTGCACCTTCCTGCCCAGGACCCCGTGCGGGGCCAGCAAGGATACTGTGCGGCTTGCGCTGCGGGTGCTCGGTGCAGAGGCGAGTCATGTGGGCCTGGTGGCAGCGCAGGGCCCACGGGTTCAAGCGCCTCGGCTCCGCCTGGTTCCTGTCAGCATCTTCCGCCGCGGAGGAGGCGTAGGTGCTGAGGCGGGCCTCGGCCCTCAGGAGCTCGGTGGCTGGGCTGCAGGTGAGGGAGCACAGGGCAGTCAGGGCAGCTGGGGCTGGAGATCTGGAGAAAGGGGCGCTCTCCTGGGCTGGACTGACAGACTGCCCCTGTGACTGTCTAGGGCACTGCGGGGACTCAGGGCCCCTCCTCCCATCAGTCCCCGCACCAGGCCTGGCCACACTGCCCCCCTCCCGGGGGACTCGCTGCACTCAGGTTAACTCTGAGCAGGTCCTGCCCGCAGAGGACTAAGGTGGTGTAGTCACTGGTCAGTGATCGGGGGGCGCTCAGTACTGAGGTGGCACACTGTGGGAACAGCAACCCTGCAGGGTGCCAAGGCTGGGGGCCTGTGCTCTCCCCCTGAGACCTCACACTGCCACGGGGGTGGGAATCTCAGGTCCTGGTGTCCCCATCTGTGAAATGGAGATCACGGCACCCGTTTGCTGACACTGAGCTCAGAGCTGAGTTAGATTCATGTGCTCCTTAGGGAAGGGAGGTACTGTCGTTGTATTAGCTCTGGTTTTCCCATAAATATTTAAAGATCCCTAGGGACACTTCTCATCTGAAAAAGGTCAGCTGGGTTATTAGAGGTGCTGGAGGGCTCTCCAGGGCCCAGGGTACCCCAGCCACCTGCACCTCCAGGGCCCCCTGAGTGTTGGCCTCTCCTCATCCAGTCTTGACTGCTAAGGAAAGATGATTTCTGGGAGACATTGGCCGCGCTATTTCTTCATGTCAACTATTCTGGGGTTTCTGCTCTGCACGTCTCTCCCCAGAGATACTTTGCATCTCAGTGAAACAGATGTTTAATTAGATAAATGCACGCCGGATACCTGCCCTGGTAGGGCTCTGTGTGCCCGTCACCCCGGATGAATGCACCGCAGGCCCCCTCTCGCAGAGGCGGGAAGAAGGGCCTCCTTTCTGCGGTCACGTTAGTTATTCTCCACAGAGCCCTCCTCCGAACCTTCCGTCTCCTCCGCGTGGCCTTTGCGGGGAGCTGCTGGCCTTGGCTCAGGTGGGACAGGCCTGGTCCCTGCTAGGGACAAGCTCCAGTTTCTGTCATCCTGCCAGTGGCCTCACCTCTCCTCGAGCCGGGGTGCCAGCTGGGCGTGCTGCCGCCTGGAGAGGGGGCCCGCCCCGCCACTGCCCTGGCTGGTCTGCTGGGGCTGCTGCCATGGCGCCCCCGCCGCCCCCGCCGACACCACGAAGGGCCCCCGGTTCTCCTGCAGTGGACTGGCGACCAGGCTGAGATGGCCCAGGCTGTCTTTCCGTAGGTGAACCGTGATGGTGCCTGCAGTGGGGCGGGGGAGAAACCAGATGGGTTCACCTGAGTGGACACGTTCCAATAGGTGGCATCTTTTTAAGTACAGTTTAGTGGCAACGGTCAACCTTCCCTTTTCCCCAGCTCCTTTCTCAAGGAAGAGCGAGGGGGACAGGCCTGGGCCAGCCTGAACCCGACCTGCTCCGGAGGGAGCCGGGGCCGTGGAGCCTGCAGAAAGCAGCCGTGGGCGAGCTTGGCACAGCCTCTGCTCTGTGGCACCTGTCTGCTCCTTCGTGCTCTGAGCAGAGCCAGCCACGTGTGGTCCTCGCATCCCAGTTCCTCTGTGCCGCTGCACCTGCCCGGGCACACCCAGCGGCCCCAACTGGGCCCAGCCGAGGGCGTCAGAGCTGGCCTTCTGCAAAGAGGGCCCGCCAGCGTGGCAGTGAGGGGTGTGGGGCCCATTCATTCCTTCCCCTCGTCTGCACCTCCTCCGTCGTCCTTCTTCTCCCCTCCATTTGTCTGCATCTAACCAGCTCCTGAGCCTCAGACAGCCTGCGGGGCTCGGGGCTCCCCCTCACACCTTCATCGCCCTCCCTTCTCTGGCTTTGACAGTGATGCTCACTGTTCCTTGTTGAACACACAGCACATGGAGATTATTGGCAGAACATGATTCTTTGGACTTGTGAGACCCCCAGCTTCCAGGGCCTCCTGACCTTGGACTTGTGAGACCCCCAGCTTCCAGGGCCTCCTGACATCAGTATTTGTAGCCAAGGCAGGGCCTCCTCCTCCACTGTGAGAGCAACAAGCACGGAAGCCAGTGAGCACGTGCAGATTGGGCCTCCCCGCTGGGTGGCGCGCACACTGGTGATAGCACCGCGTGGATGTTCACAGCTCTGGCCGCCCCCTTTGGATTCTCACTCAGGTGGCAGAGTCCAGGCCTTTGCCCCTGGGGCTGGGTGCCCAGCCTCGCCGGAGCTCTGGCGAAGAGGGACGATCGTCCTGGTGGGGGCGCGGGAGACCGCCACAAATGGGGTTTTGCGAGAACTAGGTCTCAGTGCTCATGGTCTCCCTCCTGCCGGGTCTCCCTACCATCCCTCATGTCGGCCCTTCAGGCCTGGAGGGTGCTTCAGCGCCTCGCCCCAGTTGCCCCTTAACCCTTATGCTGATGGTTTCTTTAAAATGAGTGGAGAACATCGGGCCCTTATAAGGCCCACGAAATCATTTGGTCTGGCCCTGCCAAGGCAACCGCAGGCGGGACTCGAAATCCAATAAATCTAGGAGTTTTTTTCATAGCAACATACATTTATATGAACTGAATCATAATAATAATATAAATTTTGAGGGACAAGCAAGGACTGTCCATTACAGGGTAGACAGGACACATATGAGTACAAGACAGGACAGACACGTGTGCTTCTCGCCCACTGCCCGCGGCCCGTCCGCCTGTATTGCGGTGACTCGGGACAGTCAGGTGGGCAGGCTGGGAGTGTACACGCTGGGAAAGTGCTGACACGCTGGGAAACTACAGCGACCTGGTGATGATGAGATGAGATGCAATGAGATGACTCCTCGTGACACTAATGACCTCACCTCCCATGACTGATGACAGTGTTGTCGACTTCTTTGTCGACACCGACATTAACTCCAGTCCAGTCTTTATCCACACGTCCATGGTCAACAGTCCTTGCAAACTGAATCTCAGATGAAGACTAAGGAAATTACAGTAGCAGAAAAGACCTCAAGAGTCGATGATACAAATGTTGGATGTGTTCCAAGTCCAAGATGCAGGATTAGAACAGTGATCACAGCAAAATAATCGCATTGCTGGTGACACACACACTGGATGGTTATTAAAACCTAAGTGGTGTGAAATCCCACAAATGGCGACTGCAAAGAAAAGGAAAGTTGATGCAAGTGTCACTCTTTCCAAGAGAAATGGACAAATGATTCTTTTTTTGTTGAAGTCAAAGGCAAACCTGTGTGTCTAGTTTGTGGCGATGCATTAGCAGTAATGAAAAAGCCAACCTGGAGCCTCCTTACAGCTCAAAACACGGTAAACTCAATGCACTGGGAGGCCAGATGCGTCTGCAAAAAATCAATGCCCTTCAGCAAAGTTTGGAATCATAAGCCGCTTTCACTAGGCCTCATTGGGACAGAGACAGTGTTAGTCAGAGGAGTTGCGTAGTGAGCGAGCTAATCACAAAGAAGCTGAGGGAGGCCTCGTGCAGAGGGAGAGTCTGAGGGTGCACGGTGGCTGCTGCGGAGTTGTTGGCACAGACAGTAAACTTGTTTCAGAGGGTTTGTCTCGGAGAACCGTCTCAGGTCGGATTACTGACTCAGCACAAGATACTGAAAAAACACTGAAGGATTCTGCAGGAGATTTCCAGTTTTTCTCTCTGGCTTGTGACAAGACAATGGACATAACATATACTGCCCAACTGGCCATTTTTGTTCGTGGGATAACTGCAGAGTTTGACACGCGAGAGGAACTGCTGTCACTGGAAGACACGCGTGGCACTGCAAGAGGGGAGGACTTGTTTGAGAGACTTGTTTCATCAAGGAAAAAACTTGAGCTAAGTAAAAGGTCTGAGTGGACGGGAGATCACATCCACAACGCAAGGCCAATGCAGAGCAACATGGCTTTATTGCACGTGCCGGATGCAGGCGGGCCGAGCCGAAAAAGGAGTTCAGCACCAGCTTTTTTTTATTTTCTGGCTTATATAGTTACAAACTACAGAAACTATTAAAAAAAAAAAAAAACTACATTAAAAAAAAACACCACATTCTCTTGGCACCACTTTTTGGTGCCGGGGCTGATTCAAGCTGTCTCAGTGGTAAGGAGTCTGCTCCAGCAGAGGTCTGGGCCATCATTAATCTCTTTCTTTTTAAGGTCGCTTCAAGTTTCCCGAGGCACCATTAACCCCTTATCTTCATTGTTCCTCTGGTGTCAGTCCCAGGGTTTTTTAGAAAACTGCTCGAATGTTTATGTGCAGGAATAACTGGTCAGAATGGAGTTTAATATTGTTAAAATATTTTTACTCTTTCACTAACATTAGAAAAGTTAAGTGGCCTTACTACAGATGGAGCTCCAGCCATGGTTGGTTCACAAAAAGGGTTCCTCTGCTTGAGTTCTATAAACGCACATAAGCAATGATGAATGTCCCACTTTGGGGAGACATGCATCGAAATACGAATCTGTGTTCAGAACAGCTTACTGCTGTGAGCAGTTGTTTTCAAAACTGATCATCGCAGAGGTGCTGTGCTCCAGACTGACCGACGCAAACCTGGAAGAGCAGTTGCGAGTGGCAGCGTCATCAATACCGGCTCACATCACGGCCTCGCCACAGAGAAGCAGCTCCAGCCATCACCTTGGGCTGCGCTCATTAAATGTCTGATCAAATACAGCAGGCTGGTTTTTAAGTTGATAATTTTGTATGGCTCAAGAATGATGTTATACATATCCAAATGGCCCTTGGCAGAAAAAAGGTTTCCTGCCCCTGCTTTATTTTATTTAAAAAATTTTTTTTCTTTATTGATTTTTGAGAGAGAGGAAGGAAGAGGGAGAGAGAGATAGAAACATGGATGAGAGAGAACATCAATTGGCCGCCTCCTGCATGCCCCCCACTGGGGATCGGGCCCACAACCTGGGCATGTGCCCTGACCAGGAATCGAACTGGTGACCTCCTGGTGCAGGGGTGGATGCTCAACCAGTGAGCCACACAGGCTGGGCCCTGCCCCTGCTTTAAAAAGTACTTTTCATTTGAACCCCTTTGCTTGTCCTCTCATTCTATGCTGGGACCCTGACTGAGAGGGTGGGTTGCATGTGATCCTGTCCTCCAAGATACTTGTTTACTGCCCTGGCCACTTGGTCACCTCGTCAGTAAGTGGTGATTTGTGCTGAACAAGCCGTCAAGGTGGCGGGGTTCCTGCCTGGTGCCGCGGCCCCCCAGGCCTGGTCCCTGCCGACACTGCTTCCGGCCGCTCCGTGGTTCGGCAGGCTCTGTGCGGAGCCATCGGTGCCTAGCCGGCGCTCTCCCCGGCCAATCCTGTCCTCTCAGATTCCCAGCGCCCTCGTTTCGCAGCCTGAGAGTGACATTCAGTTTTCTCCAGCTCCTAAAAATACTCTGCTTTTCCTCAGCTCATCCCAGGCCCCTGTGTCCTGTAAAGCAACAGTGATACTTAACGATAACGCTGTACGTGAACCTGACAGTTACGGTTCATCTGAAGACCAGCAGGCATCTCTAGGCCGAGCCCACCAGGGCTGGTCTGCTCCGGAGAGCAGGCTCTTGGCAGGCCGGGCGAGTGACGGCGACAGCGATCGTCACCACCGTGACCTGCACACCCACTGTGCGCCAGCATTGTGCGCTGTTCATTTGTTAGCGCTGTGCTATCGCAAGCCTGACTGTGGTCACGGGGGCTCAGAGACTGAATCGCTTGGCCAAGGTCACACAGGTGTGGCGCTGAGAAGCCACCCCACACCTGGATGTGGAAGGAGGGACGGCTGTCACATGGAGCCGGGCTTTACAGGGAGACGCCATGCCGTCACTGTTACCCACGTGTGGACGAGGACAGTCTGCTGTGTCCCCGCCATGTTTTCCCCTTCCGTGGGGCAGACAGAGAAGCTGCGGTCCCACTGCCCTGTGAGAGGGCCGTTCGTGCAGGCCGGGAGCCCCAGGAAGCCCATCGACGAGGAAACATCCTTGGTGGGGGTGGGGGCCACTGCTCACTGTGCTTGTTCTGGGGAGGGGCAGTCACCTGGAAACCATCGCAGGGCCCCGAGTAACCCTCCATGTACGAGCAGGGGAGAGCTTGCTGGCCTTGGGGTGCACACAGCCTCCTGGCAGCCGGGGGAGTCCAGGAAGGTGTGCGGCCAAGGGCAAGGCCCTTCCAGGTCTTGTAAAGTTCAAGTTGCTATCTGGTGGCCCCCTGGCCTTTTCCACTCACGAGGCTGTGGTAATGACCCTGCCTAACACCATGGTTTTGGGGAGCTTGGGCCCAAGGGGCAAGAAGTGTCGCCTACTTCTCCAGGCGCCAGCTCTCGTCTGTTCTGAGTGTCTACATGAATGGAGGCAAGCGGAGGCACAAATAACCCCAAACCTATAACATCCAGAAGTCATTTCTGTTTCTCATATTGTCAGCTGCACAGCTGGGCTCCATGCCCCTGTCTTCTCGCTCCGTCTTCCTCACACCTGTGACTGGCTCTGTCTCCCTCTATCTGTCTTCCCTTCCTCCCACGAGGCTTCTGTGGCTCAGCCCAGCCCTTCCTTCTGAAGCGTGCGACCCGGCGCAGACAGGGCCTTGCAAACAGTCACCAGGGCCTGCCCTGACAGGAGCAGCGTAGCGGAGTCAGACTGCTAGGGGTCGTTTTTCCGTCAAGAGCCATGTTGGCCCTGACCTGGCCTTCAGCTTGCCCTGTGTGTCCAGGGGGACTAGGCCTCAGAGGCCCACGGCTCCCAGATTGCTGGCCCTGCCTGAGGAGTGGGGGCCAGTGAGAGCCCCCGGCTGCCTGCTCCCCCGCCCTCCCCAAGCACCTCGCCCTGCCGCGTGCCAGCTGGGCGGACAGGAGAGCTCACTGCCATGATCGGCGGGCCAGGGCGTCTCAGCAGTTTCGACCTGGCCAAGCAGCTTCCTCCGCCTCTGAATATTCTGCCGTGTATTCATTTTTAAGCTCAGGAGAGCATTTCTTTGCTGCTGTCTGTAATGTGAATCTGGCTCATCTGTCACCCAGCTAGACTGAGGAGCGTGTCCTCACTCCCCTGAGCAGACAGGCAGGCTGGGAGGCAGAGGGACCCAGCCCCAAGACGCTGTCAGACCCGAGGAGCCCAGCAGAAAGTCCAGGCTCTGGGAGGCGGTGCTTGGGAATGCCGTCCCTGCCTAGCTTCCCCTGAGGCCCTCAGTGCGCGGCAACAGGGAGGGGTATGCACCGGGTGTGCAGTGGCCCTCAGGGACAGCCCCTCACTCTGCGGCTCTTCCCATCAGGGAGAAACAGGGAGGCCCCTGTGGCAGCCTTGTAGGCACTCGAGTGCCCCAGACCTGAGGTCACTAGCTTAGTGGCTCTGGGCAAGTCCCGTCCCCACCCTCTCTGGGCTGGACGATCCCTGAGCACTGCATCTGGGAGTCCATTTCTCTGCAAGAGCAGCTGGAGGGGCCAAAGCCACGCAGGGAGTCAGACCTTGAGGCTTTGGGTCCTGGCTCTGCCCCTCCCTGGCTGCGTGCCCTGAGGCAAGTCAGGTAACTGCTCTGTGCCTCAGTGTTCTCGCCTGTGAGATGGGGATACTGAGAGTCCCCCCTCAGAGGGTGCTGAGGATGGAGTTCTCACTGCACACTACTTACAGGCAGCTGTGCCGGGCATGGCGGGAGCCTCGCGAGGGCCCTTCCCACCGAAGCCTGGCCTCAGCCTGCGTGAGGGTCCCCTTCTGGGCCCATTCTAGGGTCTGCAGACATGCGTGTCCTTAGGTGGGGCCTGGGTTGTGGCTAGTGAGTAGTCAGTGTTTCTGTGCCGTTGGACCTCACGTTTGGGTGTCCCCCCAGCCCAGGGGCTCTGCCTCACCCTCACCCTCAGCAGGCTGCGTGGTCTCACCTGGGGTGTCTGTGGTCCCTTGATGTAGATGTTGGGAGCACCGTCTCTTCAGTAACCGCCCCCCCTACCCCCGTGGCCATGATGTGTGCAGCTATGAGCCTTGGCTCAAATGGATCCATTACCTCAGCAGAGCCCCAAGGCGGCCGGATCTGGGAATGGGCCCAACCTGCACGGGGAAGCAGGGCAGAGGAGAGGCCAGAAGTGGACCCCTGCCCACAGGTGGTGCAGCCCCGCCCCGGAGGCGTGGGCACGTGTGGACAGGGCGCGGGGCCTGGAGACCCAGCAGCCTCACTCCTGCTTTGCCTGTGCCTGCCCTGGCCGTCTGTCCCTGCGCCACAGCTGTGTCCAGAAGCGTGAAATGCTGCAGGCGGGAGGCCACCCCATGCAAGGACCTGCCACCCTTTGCTGGGTTGAGTTCATTGTCGGAAGGACAGACATTAATTCCAGCGGGTGCTCTGACAAGATGGGCAGTGACCCCCAGAGCCCCAGAAGGCCTCAGGCAGGGGAGGCCTGCCCAGGCTGCGCTCCAACTGTGTGCCGTCTCTCAGTGTCTGATGGTCACCTGTCCTGTCTCAGACTCTCAGGAGGCCCCACAGGCGGGGACTGAAGCGAAGCCTAGGGCTCAGGCCTTGGTCCCCACCAGTGGGTCTCAGTTTGGAGCATGCAGCTTCCTGGGCCCTAACCCGGGATCCCGAGGTCCAGGTCTGGGGCGGGCCCAGGCCACCTGCGTGCATGCCCTCCCCCCGCCCCCCAGTGATTTTGGCAAAGCTGGTCCATCTCAGATCACACCGAGAAACACCGTGCAGCTGGGCCCCGCCCTCCCCAGTATCTCAGTCAATGCAAGTGAGTGTTGCCTGACTGCTTTGGATGTTGTCGTGGCCTTAGCTTTGCGTCACAACATCCGAATCCTTTAAAGGGGCCTTTTCTCTGAGCACTGGTGCCTTTGCGGGCTCGGCTGGCAGGGTGGTTCACAGAAGGCGGGTGTGGAGCTCCTGGCGAGGCCCGAATGGGCAGCCCTGCCCACCAGTCTCCCCCAGACCCACCTTGTGCTCGGATCAGAACACACCTGCTGTGTGCCTGACTTCCCCAGGTCCACCTGGAAGGCAGCCCATGCCCGGCTTTGCCCCCGGATGAGGGCAAAATTCTGGTTTCCTGAGCCTGCGGTGTCCCAGCCCCTGTCCTGCCCTCGGCCCAAGGCTCCTGCCGCCCGCCTGGTCTCCAGAGGAGGGGAGGGAGGTCTCCACCGGTGCTGCACCTGCCACCCGGCACAGGACCCCGCGTGTGCTCCCAGAGCACAGGCCAGTACGCCCCACTTTATTCCGTCCTGAATTCCTCGAAGCCGGTGGCTTGAGCTGATTTGGAAGGACTCCAAGTGCTATTATACTCCAGACCTGGAGACTTAAAGAGTTCAGAGAAACTAGGACAGTGAACCAGGCTGCAGGAGAGGGGCATGTCTCCATGGCAACCGTCACGCACACCACGGTGCTCCGGGAAGCCGGGCGTGCAGACCGGCCCGGCCGCGTGGTGGCCGGAGCCGCGCCCGCTGCCCGACACTCACCTCTGTACTGCGGGGTGAACCGCTTCATGACCAGGGGCAGGGACTCGTAGAACTTCTGCTCCTGGGAGACGAGGGGCTTGCACACGGTGTCCTCGTCGTACTTCATCACACTCAGGTGCCCCCCCACCTGGTGCAGGAAGGGCTCCAGCTGCACGCCCCCCCGGGCGCCCCCGGCGTCCGCACTGTCCTGGACAACCATGTCCGAGGCAGAAGGAGCAGCTCCAGGGCACAAGGCAGGGTCGTCAGAGGCCCTCAGCTATCCCCTGCGCCTTTGTCGTCGTCATAGCATCGCTTTCATCCTGTGGGCTCTCGCAGGCCCTGGAACACAGCGGAGGTGGAAGTGAGGTGAGCAAGACAGATCTGGGGGCCGCTCGGGAGCACCCACATGCCCCAGCCACCCCCGCGGGAGATAAACAAGACTGCTAACCGGCTTCCATTTCTTCTGGAAAAATGTTACAAGAAACTGCTAACAGTGGTTGCCTCCGGGGAGCAGGGCTGAGAGGGAGACTTCTCTAAATACACTTTTGTACCTTTTGCATTTACATGTTCAAACATTTTTTATAAACCAGGACACACGGCTGCAGGCTTCCAGAGCACAGGGCCCATGTCGGCGTCGCAGGACAGCTTGCCTGCCTTCCCGGGGACACTGACCCGGCCAAGGAGAGCAGCGCCTCTGCGCCCCTCGGGGGGCTGGGAGCAGGGACGCGCAGGCTTGTGCATAGCTGTGCGCCAGCCACTCCCGTCCTGGCTCCACAACACAACTGCCGTGTGGCCGTGGGCTCTGCAGCCTCTCCCGGCCTCGGTGCTCCCGTCTTGGGATGGGACAGGGTGATGCCTGCCTCATGGAGTCAGGCACAGAACTGAGATAAAGGCCGTGCAAAGGTTAGCCCAGGGCCCAGAGCTACGTGCTCAGTAAATGATGATTTCTGGCATTATTGCCTTGGTGGGTCATATCTTCCCAACAGCCCAGAGTAGGGGGCAGGAGGCCTTCTCGCCACTTTGCAGATGAGGACAGCGGGGCCTGAACCGCCTTGCCCAGGGCCCGGCGGGGTCCAGGAGCAGAGCGGAGGTAGAGGGGGCTCCTTGGGCCTCATCCTCCACCTGCTGCTCCCTTTTCCCCCTAAAGTGTGGACTTGCTGGACCTCGGGCAACTGCCGGGACCCCGGGCTGCAAATGCAGCTCCAGATGACGTCCTGACTTTGTCCCAGGAGAGCGCCAAGGAGACACTTCCAGGAGGCTCCGGCCGCATTCATTGTGCGAGAGGACGTCCTCACAGCAGTGCCCGTCACTGCCGAGTTATTAATACTCTCCTCTGCTGGACTCCCAGCGAGGATGGGCCAGGCTGCGCAGCTGGGCACGATGAACCCTCTAAACAACCTTCAGTCCAGACTGTGGGCATGGCCGGCTGGCTCCTAGCACAGCACTGCCTATCAATTTGTCTGGGACCCTGGCGCAGAGAGGTTCCTGCCACCCCCTCCCCACCCTCATTGAAATCCTCCGCTGGCTCATTCCTTCCCCCAGGGGGCCTCTCCCACACTGGCTACCCCTCTGCAGGCACAGTGCCTGCCCTTGGGGGAGCTGCAGCGAGTTCTGCCTGGTTCTTGCATTTGCTTTGCAGGTGCAAGGCGAGGCTTGGGGGGCTGCCTGGGGGGCTGGAGCCTGGCTGGGCAGGGTGGGGTTGCTGGAGAGGCCTCAGGGGGGGGGGGAGGCTGAGGCTTGACGGTGAGGGGCTGTGCCTGAGGCCACAGCTCTGCTCTAAGACTGCACAGAAGTGAGCCCTCCTGGGAGCCGAGAAAAGAAGTTGGTGGGAGGCGTCTGGATGGGTAAGGAAATCAGCAATCAGCTCGGGCCCTGACCCGTGTGGCTCAGTGGGTTGGGCGTCGTCCTGGTTCAATTCCTGGTCAGGGCACATGCCCGGGTTTCAGGCTCAATTCCCAGTAGGGGGCGTGCAGGAGGCAGCCACTTGATATTTCTCTCTCACATTGATGTTTCTCTCTCACTGATATTTCTCTCCCTCTCCCTTCCTCTCTCTCAAATCAATAAAAACATATTTAAAGAAGAGAAATTGGCCCAGGTCTGAGCTGATGTCACAGTTGCTTGGCAAACCCAGTTCTACTTGCAAATTTGGAGGTGGCCCGAAGGAAGAGGAGACAAACCAGGGTGGCCCAGCGCCTCTCCTCATCGCTGGTTCGCCTGGGTCTGCCGCTGTGTCTCCCTTTGCCAGCTGACCTGTCCCTGGGGAGAAGGAGCCAGCGGCTCTGCTGGTTGTAAAACTCAGTCACTGTCACTCCTGGAAGGAGCCTGGGCCCTGCCCCGCACACTGTCTCCTGGGCCAGGCCCAGCTGAGCAAGCCCAGCAGCACCTCCTGCTCCCGCGTCTCCCCACCCGCCCCAGGAGCTCCGAGGACACGGAGGCCACTTGCAGGGGCAGCGTGGGAGGGGAGTGGTGCTGAGCGGCAGCATGTGGCCCCTGCCGTGTGCCGGGCGGTGTGAGGTGCCTGCCCCGGAGCCTGTGGTCAGCCCACTCCACAGACGACGGGGGCAGAGGGTAAGTAGTCGCCCACGTGCACCAGCTGGTTTGCAGGGGCCTGAACGTTAGCCCCAGCGTGCACCCCCGCCACGCTGCAGGGAGGCTGAGAGCTATTGTTTATCTACTTTGAGGGTCAGGAATTGGAGCCCCAAGAAGGCTGGGACTTGACCAAAGTCCCCTACAAGTCCCTGGCTGTGCTGGGACAGGACCCAGGTCTTCTTGTCTTCAGGCTGGTCTCTCCGACCCTGATGACAATAAGTGCGTGTCCTCGTGGTGTGGGCTCTGACCTCAAACCATCAGGAGGGGTCAGGCCACCTAGGGCTGGGGCTTGGTATTGACCTTCTCGGGGCTCTCTGGCCGGGGGCGCTACCAGACCGAGAGGCACGTTACCCCCGGTGTCCTCGGGAGCCCTGCCGCAGCTGCTCAGGTGCAGAGTGAGCCGGGGCCACACTGGGCCTCCGACAGCGCGCACACAGGACACCAGCTTGCCTGCCCCAAGACTCGGGGTTGACAGCAACGGGATGTCGCTGGGTAGTCACTCTGTACTTTTCAAAAGGCTGGACTCGACAGCTGGGGAAACTGAGGCTCTGTCTCCCAAGGGTCATCTTAGGGTGTCTATTAGGTGATGTCCTCAGACTCCCGCCCGGACTGTGTGGCTGCGGCACTGACAGGTTGGTGGGAAGGGGTGGAAGGAGGGCAGATGGGCAGTGGCGTCCGTGTCCAGAGCCCCTGCCTGAGCTGGGCAGCTGGGCTTTGCTGCTGCCAGGGAGGCATTCAGTGGGCTCCCCTTGGCACGGATGCTGACCTTGGATTCCCAAGGACACTTGAGGTTTCCCATCCGTCTGCATGCGTGGCCTCCCGCTCGGGGACAAGGCAGGGGAAGGCCCCACTCTTTCGCGCCTCCCTCGGAAGTCCCTCCCGGAACCAGCCCCGCGGACCGTCCTCGGCCCAGCCCTCCCTTCGCCACTGGCCTCCGACCAGTGCCTCTGGGCCCTGAGTGTGTTCCCTCAGCGCCAGGAGCCCAGGCCTGTGCCAGGTGCTCCCACCCGCTTGCTGAAGCCCCGGGGCGCCCTGGGTTCCCACCACGGCTGCAGCCTTGTCACAATGCTCAGGTGACAAAAGGTATGGCACTGTGGAGGCCTCTCCCAAGCGTCTCCACCACGAGGTTGTCACTATGTGGGCGATGCTCAGGACGGACTCGGCTTGGGGGCTGGAGGGCAGGTGAGGTAGTCGCCTGAGACGGGACCTCATGCCCCACTGACACTTGCTGAGTACCCCGGGCTCCCTCCAGCGCCTCGAAGGGAGACCAAAGTCCCTCTTCCAGCCCACGCCTCCGCCACAGCCAGACCCGGCGCCCAGCACCCTTCATGTTCCCTGGGGAGAGATGGGAGGCAGTTAGGATGAGGGAGGAAGAGAGGGAAGAGGCAAGAGGCCCCCAGCCAGAGAGCTCAGCTTAAAGCTCCTGCCCCAGGAAGAGTGGACAGATGGCCCCAGGTCGCTGTTCTCCTGTCATGTCCTGAAGGACATAACTCCGGGTCTCACTGCAGGAGATTCAGTTTCTCAGGGGGGCCCAGCCGTGGAGCTGGTGGTGAAGGAGGCCCTGGGCGGTCTGTCTGCAGAGCCTGGGGGCCCCGGGCGGCCAGCCTGCCGCTGGCTTGCAAGCCCCCCCCCCTGCAAGGAGGGTCGTGGACTGCAGGGCCTGCGGTGTGTGTGGCTGTCGGAGTGGGGACAGATGACAGCACCAGAATGCCAGACAGTGACAGATGCCGCCGATCACGCCGAGGTGGGTGAGTGTGCCGCGCTCGTCACCGCCAGCTGCCGCGCGTTCTTTCCCGAGAGCCGGGTGCACGGCCCCACGTGCCAGGCCCGAGTGCAGGAGAAACTGCAGACGATGTTTGTCTGTTTCGAACTCACCACTCCCACTTTGGGGGAGATGGCAGGCGAAACCAGGAATCCAACTTGTGGGTTAACCTCGGCCCAGCTTAGTCGTGGGCCGTCTCTTGTCAAAGCCGTCAGCTCTGGGAGCAAGGGGCTGACGCGGCCGCTGCCGGCTCCGGCGTCCTGGTGTCCCCACAGGAACACGGCCGAGGCCCTTCCCCAGCTCTCTGAAGGTGGGTGTGGCCACACGGCTGGCTCTGGCCCACCTAGTGTGGGTGCCGGTGACAGGTCACCTCCGGGGGCGCATTCGGCGCGTGGTCGTCTGCGTGTCTGCCCTTGCTGGGTACGTGGCACGACAGCGAAGTAAAGCTGTCCCACCAGGCCTCCGAGATGTGGGGCGGCTGTCACCCAGCAGGGCCTGGTCTGTCACCAGCTCACTGCCCCGCCCAGCATGGGCTCCTTAAGTTGAAAGCGACCTCACTTGAGTCAGATATTCAAATATATATATATATATATATACACACACACATACATATTTTTATCCCCCCCTTTTATTTTTTTTGCATTTATCTTCAGATAGAGCAGGAGGGAGAGAGGGAGGGAGAGAAACATCCATGTGGAAGAGACACATTGAGTGTCTGCCACCCACACGACCCCAACCGGGGTCAGGGACAAACTGCAACTGAGGTACGTGCCCTTAGCGGGAACTGAACCTGGGCCTCTCTGGTCCATGGGCTGACGCTTTAACCGCTGAGCCAAGCTGGACAGGGCCAGACAGTCAAATATTTTACGGCACCAAGGTATCAGTGCAGGACCAGCTGCTGCACCTGCGCACCTCCTGGGGCCCGGGCGTCACCATCACCACCTGTTTCTCAGCAGCGCCCTGGGCGGAGAAAGGTGAGGCGCTTTCCCAGGGCCCGGCTCCTGAGCGCAAGGCTGGGACTTTCTCAGGCTCCCGCCCAGGCTGCCCCGGACATCTCCCTCTGGGTCCCCAGACCTGAGGCAGGCTCTCAGGCCAGCTCCTGTCCGAGGCCCGATCTGGGCCTTGGCGGCCTGCCTCAGAATGGGAGCCGTCAAGGAGCCTGACGGGCTGGCCTCGAGGTGTGCCGCCTGGCTGGCTCAGCGGGCGCTGGGCAGGTGGGTTATCAGGCGCCCCGCAGGCCCAGGAGACCTCACCCAGAGCCACACCACCCTGCAGACCCCAAACACCCTGGGGCGCGAGCATCTCTCAGGTGCGTGCAGACGCTTTGGCGCCGACTGAGATACAAATCCATTTAGAGGTATTATTGCCTTCCTAGTAGTTTTATCATCATCTATTTTCTCAATCAGCAGATACTAAAAGTATGATGAGTATCGCAGGGAAAACTTATGTTGAGAAATCGGTCCTAGTTGAAAATGTCAGGAGAGATGCTGCTGTCGCTGAGGTGGCGGTGGTGGGAGGGGTCTGAGTCGGGAGGATGTGGGCCGGCCTGGGGGTGCCCGAGGAGGGCCTGTTTTGGGGAATGTGTGTGCAGGGAGCCATAGGAGAGGGAGGGCTGTGTAGGGAGGAAGAGGCAGGATGCTGCAGGTGCCTGGCCCAGTTTCATGCCCCCCACGTGGTGCCAGGGCATCGGCAGGGAGGGCACAGAGAGGCCACCTGGCCGTGCCCATTCAAGGTGCCTGCCCCCCACGCCCGGCTCACTGCAGGGAGGAGGGAGTCGCCTGAGGTCTCGGGTGTGGAAGCCTTCTCGACCACCTCTCAATAAATTCGGGGGAGGGAGCATCCTGGGGAGGAGACAGCTCATAGTGACAAGACTGACGTGAACGGTGGCAGGTGGCAGGCTGCAGGCCGCAGGCTCCGGGCGGCAGGGCTGCTGGTGGCCCTCTTGCCTCTGACGCCCGGACGGCCCCGCAGGCCTCTCGGAGCCAGGGGTTGGTACCAGTACCATGTAATGTCTTCACGACGCCCCAGGGAGCATGTTTTAATCTGTTAGAGATGAGAGGACCCGAAAGCCATGTGAAGGCCCTGCGGTGGTGATGGGCAGAACCGTGATGCTTCTCCTGTGGTGCGGGCTGTGAATCTGGGGCCATCCAGGCTGGGGAGCACGACGTTATTTTCCGGAGGAAAAATTGTGTTAAAATTCATTCTAAACATGGCTCGGGGGCTATAGCCTGTGTGCCCTCGTCTTCCTGGCCCTGGGGCTGGGGGTCAGTAGTGAACGCTGGGGACTTCACAGGTCACCTCCCAGGTGGCTGAGACGTGGCTCTGGAGTCGGTTTCCCAGGGGTCAGCTCCGGAGCCGAGAGCGATACTTCCTATTCCTCAGTTGCAGCAGCTTATTTCAAGGCTGATTTTATGCTTTGAGAGAAGTTTTTTTTCCCCTCTCCTTTTCTCTTAACATTTAAAATCTCCCACTGTTCCTCCGGCTTGAAGACCAAATGTGACTTAATACAGCGGGTATTCGTTTAGAAGCCCTTCAGCCCCTGACGAGCGTCCTCGGCCGCAGCAGTGTTCTGGGCGCGGTCAGGCGGGAGATGCAGGGGGCAGAGAGGACTCGAGAGGCCGAGCTGCCGGAGGGGGCTTCTTGTTCCCGGGCCCTAACAATTCCCGACCTCAGACAGCCCCCTGGGCAAGGCCAGTAGCGGTTCTACCAGCCCCTCGAGGCGCACCCCCCCCCCAAAGCTGCACCCAGGATCTTGGATATTGCCAAACCCAGACCTGCACAATTCCCACCTCAGACACCCTGCCCACCTCCCCCTTCTCTAGGGATCCAAGGAGCCTGACCAGCCACCTGGCTCACGCAGGAGACTTACGAGCCAGAGGAAGGTCTGTCCCATGGTTAGCATGGCAACTTTATGGCTACAAGGAGAAACAGCTTTTTAAGGTCAAAAGGCACTAGTGGGATGGAGCGAGTGTGTGTGCGAGTGTGTGGATGAGTGTGAGTGCCTGGTGTGCAAGTGTGCGGTCGTGGGCTTCAGGCCACAGAGCTGAACTGGCCAACTGCGCAGCGAGCTCTTCCAGGACCTGAGTGAGCGAGCAAGCCTTTCGCCACCAGAGGGCAGCAGCGGCCGCACACAACCGCCGGAGAGGGCGTCCCACCGGCCAGAACCTGCAGCCCGCGAGCTCCTGGCCTGGCCACCAGGGTGCATTCCCGAACCCCTGGGTTTGCCGGGCCTGTCCTCAGACAGCCCCGCCGGCCAGGCGCCCCTGTCTTTCCAGACGACTGTTCTTAGCTCAGAAGTTATCGTCAAGATTGATGACCCCGTGTTCCCATCTTGCCACCTCCCTGCTTTTTTTTTTAAGTGTTTATTATTCTTTTTTTGTTTTCAATCCTACCTGAGGCTATGTTTTTATTGATTTGAGGGAGTGAGAGAGAGAGAGAGAGAAACATCCATGTGAGAGAGAAACACCTATCGGTTTCCTACTAGGGTACAAACCTGGGTATGTACCCTGACTGGGAATTGAACCTGCCACCATTTGGTGTTTGGGACGACACTCCAACCAACTGAGCCACGCGCCCCTCCTCCCCCGCTTTTCCTAAAGGTTGTCTGGCTGGGGAATCTCCCTGCCCTGGATGAGGCATATTTTGAAATGTGGAGTGCCTGGCTTGATTCATGGGGGAGGGACCCCAAAACCAGGGACAGGGCTTGCTGAGAGGGAGGAGGTGGGGTGAGGGTGCTGGAGACACATCTGAGCAGAGTGGACCGTGGTCTTCAGCACCTCCATGCAACAGGTCCCTGCTGGGGCAGGCCGGCCACGCAGCTGGAGGAGTAGCCAGCATAAGGTAGGGGCGGCCAATGTGGCGTTGGGGTGCCAGCCTCTCCCTTCCCCTCCTGCCCCACCCCCTCCAGTCACTGCCCTGAACACTCGGTGCTCAATGCTGTCAGGTTGATTGCTGTCCCTGTGGCTGCTGGTCAGCAAGGCAGACCTGGAATTCTGCCTGGGAAGGATTTATTCGGGTGCCTGCTCAGGGCAGGAGAGAGCAGGGGACGCTGCTGGCTCGGGAGGGGGCTCAGCCGGGCCTGACACCCAGGACGCCCTGGAAGGGCGACAGGGAGGGTCCCAGGGGCCGAAGACCTGTGCAGGATTTTCTCAGACCCGTGATAAGGAGCTGGCTCTGAGGAGCACAGTAGGGGAGGGGGGACCAGGAGACCTGGTTCTGCCCCAGACTCCCTGTCCTTTCCTCTTGGGCCTCAGTGTTCCTATCTGACACAGCCTTCTTCTTACCCTCCTGTGGGATAATTGGCTCCTCGACTCAGCAAGTCAGTGTGGTAGGGAAAATCGGTGGTGGGGGGGGGGTGGCAGAGATCCTTCCAGGTTGAAAGAGACCGGGACAGCGTGCTGGCCCTGATGGGACCCTGGTGTGAAGGAGGCACTACAAACACCCTGAGGGCAAGGGGGGATTTGAAGATGGACTGCATGGGTGCAGGCGTTCTCTGGAGTCATTCATTCTGTTGGGGGAATAGTGGCCTCAGGGTTACGTAAGGACCAACCTGGGGAGTTACTTCAAAGCGCTATAGCCAAGCATCGCCGATGAAGCGAATATGGCAGGACTCAAACTGCTGTGTCAACCCCATGCAGGGCATCAAGGGTCCCTTATAGCATGCCCTCTGCTTCGTCCTTAGCTGTAAAGGTTTTCATCGTAAAAGGGTCTGAAATAAACCGATTGCTTCTAAAAGCTGCAGAAACCTGGGTCCTGCCTCGCCGGTGTGGCTCAGTGGACAGAGCATCTTCCCAGGGACTGAGAGGTCCCAGTTCGGCCCCCGTCGGGGCACATGCCGGGGCTGCGGGCTCCATCGGGGCCGTGCAGGAGGCAGCTGATGGATGTTTCTCTCTCACGTGGATGCTCCTATCTCTCCCTTCCTCTCTCTCTAAAAAAATCAATAAAAATTTGAAAAAGAAACCCTGGTCCTGCCCCCTGGGGTCTGACTCCCTGGGGGAAGGGCCTGGCACGAATGTTTTTAGGTCCTGGAGATCCTGAGGCCCGTGGCAGACTCAAGTTCAGGTCTCAGGTTCACTGCAGAGCCCAGAAGAGCCCATGGGAGAGGGGCCCAGGGCAGGGCCCTGGTGGTGACGCGTCTCCGATGCACCCTGCTCCATGGGGCGCCCTGCACCCGCCCCCAGGCCACTGCCCACAGGTGCGGACGTCATCTCAGGCCTGTGGTCCCACCCGGTGGAGGGGTGAGGCTGCCGGGACAGGACATGCTGGGCCAGCTGCCTCTGTTAAACCCAGTGTGCATGTGAATCACCGGCTCCAACCCTGCACCTGCTCCTGCAGCTTCTGTCCAACCCGGCAGCCCAGCCCCCACCCGGCAGCACCCTGCCTTCCTAAGGGCTGCAGGGAGGAGAGGGTGGAATTACTCCAGGGAGGGGAGGCGGCAGAACTTCTGTGCTGCTGGACTGCTGGGACTTCCCACAGACAGACCCTTAATCAGCCCCGGGCGGAGACGAGGCCCAGCCCTCAGACCCCGGCACCATCAGGGGTTCAGCAAGCCCACCCCTTGCCGATCCCCCAGGGCAGCACTCACCAGGCCTCCTCCTCAGGACTGTGCCAGGGAGGGTCCAGCGGGAAGTGATCTTCTCTCGGTGCCCACTGGCGACAGGCGTTGGGCAGAGGCCTTCCCAGGGTCCCCGTGAGACGTGGCCGTCCACTGTAGCACTGGTGGAGAGGTCTGCCCAGGCGACCAGGCTGCAGTGGCCTGGGCAGGGAGGTCACGTGACCCTGGGGAGGGGCTGGCAGGGGCAGCTGTGGGCTGGCGTTGGCTGCTCTGAGCAGGGGAGGAAGAGGAGTGGGCGGGGATAGTCCTCCGCAGCCTGGACGACGGACGTCAGGCCCTGGCAACCAAGGGCCAGTGGCCCGAGATCCCTGTTTGTTTTTTTTTAATTAGTTTTCTTTTTTATTTATGTATTTTTTTTCTTTATTGATTTTAGAAAGAGAGGAAGGGGGAGAGAGAGAGAGAGAGAGAGAGAGATAGAAACATCGATGAGAGAGAACATGGACTGGCCGCCTCCTGCATGCCCCCACTGGAGACCTGGCCCACAACCTGGGCATGTGCCCTGACTGGGAATCGAACCGGTGACCTCTTGGTGCATGGATCCGTGCTCAACCAGTGAGTCACACTGGCTGGGAGATCCCTGGTTTTTTATTCCTACTTCATGGGGTAAGGCTAGGGTGGGGGGTCCTTTTCTCCCTTCCCCCAGCCTCCCTGCCCCACCCCCTTCCCCACCCCCTGACTGTGTTTTCCCCAAGCTGTGGCCTCCTGGAGAAGGAAAGACGGGCAGCCAGCCAGCCAGCCAATCAGCTTGAAGACAGGCTGACCCAGGAACCTGCCAGGCCAGCGCCTGTTGTCAGGGGACTGCAGTGTGGATGGGGGTTGGGGACGGTGTTCAGCAAGTCCAAGGGTGATTCCAGTGTGTTGGTGGGAGAAGATGGGATGAGGGGGGCCCCTTCACCTACTTATTGGGGAGCAGCAAAGCATCCACGTTGGGTTTGGGGAGAACAGTGGTCTAAGTAAGGGACCAAGGGGCCCACAAAGGCCCGGGCTGGGCGGCGGGGACAGAGCACGGAGTGATGACAGGTGAGGCTGGGCGGGGCGCTGGCTTTCTGCAGTGAGGGGCACCCCGGCTGTGCTCAGAGGAGAGCAGACCAGGAGCTGTGCGTGGTGGATCAAGGCGGCCGCAGGTCGTGAGGCCCCAGCTGCTGACCTCCCGGGGACTCCAGTCTGAGGGGAGAGGAGGTGTTGAGGAATCAGCCTTGACGAGGTCTGGTGGCACGTGGACGGGGACAGGTGGAGCAGAGGCAAAGGACAGGGGTCAGTCACGGGACAGCTCCAGGTCTGAGTGGGCCGGGACCACGCACTGGAAGGTCTGAAGTCTGCCTTCAGGAAGCTCGCGCTGCCCCGACCTGTGGCTTGGCTGGGCCAGCTGCCCCTCCTGCTCCTGGGGGGTGCTCGGCCCGGGGCTCAGCAGCAGCCTTGGGCTCGGCCCCCTTAGCCCCGTGTCTGGTCCAGCCTCTGCCCCGAGCCACGCCCCGAGGCCCTGGCCCTCGTCCTTGAGGTCCTCGCAGCACTGTCCACTCAGTGTGCCCTGCGCCCACTCCGGGCTGGCATGGCAGCAAAGTACAAGGTGTCCTGGGACGGCCACAGCAAGTTTGGGGGCCGCCCGCCCCCAGCCCAGCTGCCCTTCCTGTGACAGACATCCTGTCCCATCCCCACCTCAAGTTCTCCCCACACTCAGATAGGGCACAGCCTGCAGGCACGAGAGGGCTTTCTGGGTGTCTGAGGCCTGTAAAGGGGGTGGAGGATCCCTGTGTGGCCCAGTCCAGGGCGGGCGATCGAATTTCACCAGGGAAAGCAGACAGGTGCCAGGCTGCCCCGGGAGCCTCCTGCCTGCCTGACCCCTCACACTGCCCGGCCATGTGCGGGCTCCGGTTACCCGGCCCTGGAAGAGACGCGTGCCCTCCTGCCCCCACCTTCCTCTCCCACCTGGCTGGAAGCCCTGTCCTGGGAGCCCTGGAACCCCCACTGGGCTGAGCCAGGCGGCCCCAGGGCAGAGGGGAGGGACCTGGGCTTGCTGGACACTGAGGGCTGAGCCTGGGGGAACCAGGCCTCGGAGGTCGGTCCACGTGCCAGGACGCGGTTTCTGGGTTTGTTTTGTTGTAAAGAGAAGACTCCACACTGCTGCTGCTTCACCCGTTTATTTAACAACGGTTTTGGCCCCCGGAGACATGGGCAGTAAACACAGCCACAGGCCCCTGGCGCGGGTGCTGACCGGGCTTTCCTGTTACGAAATCAGACTTTATTTCTGCTCCCTGCTGGGGCCAAGTCCCTCCACAGTCATTTCCCGAAGCTCAGCTCCGCCTGCCGGGTGCCCGCTGCTAAGCCTCCTTCCACAGCCATGCCCTTGGCCGGCCTCTGCGTGACCGCCCCGGCCCGCCCGGCCTCCACCAGGAGCTCAGCCCGGAGCTTGGCTGTCCTGCGGACGGAGCATTCCAGGCCAGCTCCGGGAGGCCACCACTTGGAGGCAGAAAATGCCTGTGGCTCGTAAGCACACACCAGCTGCTTCGGAGGAGGGTGGGCTGGTCCCCCCGCTCCCCTGGCTTCTCCCTCCCCAGCCTGACGGACCGTCTGTGACCTTCCCCTTCACTGCTGCCTTCTGGGGCAATTCACTCATCACCACGCCCACCCTGTGGATTCCATGTCCTACACGGGACCCCTTTCCTCCATCTCCACAGCCGCCACCCCACCTCCCGATGACTCCTCACAGCGTCCTCCTCCTCACGACCCCCCTCCTACCATCCATTCTCCCAGAGTGATGTTTTGAAACAAGTCGGGCCATGTCACTACCTGCTTAGTACTCTTCAGTGCTCCTCGTCCCGCAACACTGTCCAAAGCCCTCCCCAGGGATGAGCCTGCCCCCCTCCTCAGCCCCATCTCATGGGATGTCCCCTTGCCTCTGTGGTCCAGCCACACCTTACGCCGGGCCTTTGCACTTGCTGTCCCTTCCACCTGGATGCCGTGCCCTCACCACTCCAGCTGGCTAACTCCTCTTCACCCTTCAGATGCCAGCTCAAGCATCACCTCCTCCAAGAAGCCCTCCGTGGCCTCTCCCACACGGCTGCAGCGCCTTTCTTTAGAAGCGCTGTCCCAGATGCAGCTGCCCTTCTCCGTGGCCGTCATTTCCTTGCATGTTTCCCTTCCTCGGCGACGGTGGCTCGGCTTATTTTGCTGCACTCTGTCCCCAGCCTGCAGCACAGCAGCCAGCCTCCCAGTGCCTGCCTGGTGAATGAATGAATGTGTGAACTCATTCAGCGTTTCCGGCTTCCCCTCCCATCTTCACTGTGCTGTGGCTTCGACAACCAGGGATGCTGGAGTGAGGAGCCGCCCCGGGCGGGCCGGGCTGGGGATTTCCTTCCCCCTTCCCAGCTCCTGGCAGGAGGCCTCGGCCTAATTCTGTGGCCCTGTGAAACCCTTCTCAGCAGACCCCCACCCCCAACCGCCACTCTAGAGACAGCAGCAGTCCTCCATGTCCCAGCACATGTCATCGCTCCCTTCCCTTGGGTAAACAGCGTGGCTGCCACGGTGCTGCCGCCCTGCCCAGAGTCCAGCACAGCCCTCCCCCTGCGCTAGGCCCTTCTCCCTGCACCCCTGCTGGGCCTCGGAGACCAGCGTGAGAGGGCCCCTCGGCGGGGAGGCTCAGAGGGAAGGCACCGCGTCTCGGGATCCACGCTTCTCTGCCGCCCTCCTCCTCCTGCTCCTGATTCCCTCTGCTGCTTGGCTTTTCCTGTCCCTGGTTTTTCTTCTCGCTCCTCACATTCTCTTGTTACCTTTTCTGTTTTTGCTGATACTTCTTGTTCTCATTCTGCTGTGTTCACACATGTGCGCGCGTGTGTGCACAAGAGTGTGTGTACATGTTAGTGTGCATGTGCATGTGAGTGTGCTCATATACGTGAGTGTACATGTGTGCATGAGCATGGGTGTGCATATGCATCGAGTGTGCATGTGGGCACGACTAAGTGCACGACTGTAAGTGGGTGTGAGTCGCATGCATGCAAGTGGCATTCAGGTGTGAGTGTGAATGCCTCGATGCAGGGGCGCACAGGGGGCCGAATAGGTGTGTCCTGATTAGTGGGTCTTTGGGAACAGGGGCTCTGGGGAGGGCAGTGTATAGGGTTCTGCCCAGAGCCTTGGGCGCCGAGGGAACTCACCAAGCCCTGGGTGCCCCACGGTGACTCCCACAGCAAGTTCCCAGAGGTGGTTGGAGCACCCATCTCACTCACCTGCCTCCCCAGGACCCCCGAACGGTCCAGAGCCCCCCTGGATGGCAGTGCCCTGGGCCATCTGGGGGTCGGCCACCTCCATCAGCGGCCACTCCTTCCCTAGACAGCCAGGATGGAGCACAAGCTGAGGGAGGTCACTGTGCAGCCCCCCACAGTCGGAGGAGGCTGGCAGCTCCCCATTGCGGCTGTGCCAGCCTGACCCAGCCCCCCATTCTCGACCACACCCGGGAACTTGTAGCCTGGATCCTGGCCGGGAACTTGTAGCCTGGATCCTGGCCGGGGTCTGAGTGGGTTCCTGCTGAGCTCCCCTTGGGGCAGGGGCCCCAGGCCATGGAAGCCACTTCCTACTCCTCCGCCTCCACCTGCCCGGGAACTCCGGAATCTGGGGACACTGTGCTGGGGCGGGTGCTAGGACCCCTGGGAGCAGTGAGGCTCCTTGACCAGGGAGCTGCAGGATGTCATCAGCCAGCCCGGGAGCACCCTCAGGACTGGGCGCTGGCCAGGTGCAGTAGGAATGGGGAGCAGGGACTGGGGGTGGGGCAGGGAGGGAGCCGCAGCCACCAGCCCGCAGCGGCTCTTCCCGCGGACACACTCCCTCATTCCATCCGACCGGGTGAGGCTGGGGCCAAGGCTGCCCTCATAGCACAGCCGAGACACGGGGGTCCAGCGAGGCCTCACATCACACTAGTAAGTGGGAGAGCTGGGATTTGAACCTGGGCCCCCACGCTTAACCCCTCTCACTCACCAGGCAGCCCCGTCACACACCAGGGCAAGAACACATCCCCGTGTCAGGGGAGGTCAGGGGGTGCCCAGGGGCCAGGGACAGGCGGGCAGGTGGCGGGAGGGAGGTGTGACTGGTCCCCACACATGGACACA